AGGAAACTGTTCGTTCGTTCAAAGTGACTAACGAAGAACTTGCTGTGAAAGGACCAAACAGCCTCCAGGATCTGGCAGCCTGCCATGCCACCTGCAAGGTGACTGGCTTTCCCGTGCAGGGCGGTTTTGGGGCAGGGAGGCCGGAAGAGGCTTGGGAACTAACCCCATGTACCCAGCGCCTTTTGGGCATTGATAGGAGAGGGATTTCCCCCACGCTGCGCCGGGAGTCCTCAGGCTGTTTGTTTTCCTGCGTTTCTCTTCTGGCGTCTGTAGGAGTTACTGGGTTTCCCAGTGCAGCGTGGGAGTGGTGCTCAGAGGGGCCTGCAGGGCACCGCTGGCTCTTTCTCCTCGCTTCCAGCTGCAAAGAGGAACCTGGCGCCTTGTTTAAAACGACTGGAAACAAGGCGGCCACGTGCTGAGAAGAGGCCTGTGTGGCTAAGCGCACGCGTAGCGAGTGGGGATCCATCTGTGTAGGGCTCGGAGAAGTCCAGGCACTGCGCAGGGCAGCCGGAGGACTGGAAGGAACACAACAGATGGGAGGGGGAAGTGAACAGAACGACACAACTTTCCGATGTAGGAGTCTATGGTTAAGCGGTTCGGAACCGGCTGTGTTTAGCAGCATCAGTTACTTTTTGTTCTGTTTCCAAGAACCTGCTGCATAAGATGAAAGGCCGTGGCTTCCCCTGGGTTCGACTGCTGCTTGTGATTCTGGTGTTTGCTGCCGGCTTCCTGGTGCATGATATCAGGACACAGGGGTCTTTTCAAGGTAAGACCTTCCCCCACTGGAACCCGGCTAAGAGGGGGGCACGATTAGATCCTCGGAGGAGAGAGTGAATTTGTAAATGTCCGTGGGCTTTGATGATTTGTTTGAGTATGTGATTTCCCCAGCAAGTTCTTCCTTTGCATCCCAGAGTATGTGTTACCTTGTTTCCTCCAGGGCCCTGTGGCTCCCTGCTGGGAATCTGTGGGCTTTGTTACCTGTGTTGTGTGGATGCTTTCATCCCTTCTGTAGCCAGCAGGGGTGAGCATGTGCCACCCGGGATGCACAGGCACCCACGAGGGGCGTATGGCTCTGTTCACCCTTCACTTATCAGTGAGGCTACATTTTAGTCATGGGTATTTTTAGTAAAAGTCATGGACAGGTCCCGGGCAATAAATAAAAATTCACGGCCCGTCACCTGTCCATGATTTTTACTATAAATACCCATTACTAAATCTCTGCTCCTGGGCCCTGCTGCTCTGGGGGGGACCCTGCTCCAGTGGTGGGGGCTCACTGCTCCGAGGCCCCCGGAGCCCGCTTTCCCAACAGCCTCCAGGACCACCCCCAGGGACCGATGCTCAGGCGCTCCCTGGGGCTGCTGCTCGGGCCACTGCAGCTGTGGAAGTGATGGAGGTTGCGGGAAGTCACGGAATCCGTGACCTCTGTGACAGAATCACAGCCTTACTCCTCAAACGTTCAGCAACATAAGAACGGCCGTACTGGGTCAGACCAAAGGTCCGTCCAGCCCAGTATCCTGTCTACCCACAGTGGCCAATGCCAGGTGCCCCAGAGGGAGTGAACCCAACAGGCAATGATCAAGTGATCTCTCTCCTGCTGTCCATCTCCATCCTCTGACAGACAGAGGCTAGGGACACCATTCCTTACCCGTCCTGGCTAATAGCCATTAATGGACTTAACCTCCATGAATGTATCCAGCTCTATTTCAAACCCTGTTCTAGTCCTAGCCTTCACAACCTCCTCAGGCTGCAACATTCCCAGACCACCTCCTTACCTGAGCAGTAAGATGTTAGTGTGTTGCCTCTGCACAGTCACGCGGCTGTGGCACCTCTGAGCTTTGCGAGCCTTTTGGAGAATAAGGCCTGCTCAGAGCCAAGGTCATAAAGCAACGCAAGCAGCCTCCGTTCCTTCACCCGTGTGGCTGGGTCCACGCGGCCCTTGTGAAGCCGTGCTACATAGTGGGTGCTGTCATCTCTCCCAGAACCACCTGGACCTGCTCAGTGGCTATTTCTCCCTGAGGCTGCTCTCCACGCTGGATTCCCTGGGTGCCTAGGACTTCCTGCCCACCACAGAGTTGCCCCTGCCCTGCTCTAACCATACGGGAATGGAACTTGCCCTGAAAGCCTTTGCTTCCTGCTAGCTGCACAAACGGCAGCCCCAGGAGGGAGGGCTGGCACAGCATGCTGGGTTTCAGCACTGCCCGCTGCCGGGTGCGGCCATTAGGAAATCAGGCCAACCTCGTCTAAATTCCTCTCCCAAAGTCATTTGTTCTTTTCCAGCTTCTTCTGCTCACATCCTTCGCTCCTCGGGCATCCTGTCGGTCTCCCAACAAGCCTGGAATAAAGTGTCCCGTTACTCCCTGGAAGGATACAGGTCAGTGACCGTTTTTAATTAAGCAAAGGGGCCAAACGAGCATGAACGCATGTGGGGTTACTAAGGCACTGAAGACCACAGCCATTAGGAAATCCCCTTGTCTTGGAAAGCCACTCGCAAATGGTCCCCAAGGTTCCTAATACAACCTTATAGCCTGGTCTCTAACGGCGGGTTTCACTGTCGTTCCGTTCCCACAATCGCCTTTGCTGTTCAGATGCTGATGCTAGCTCTCTCTTCCAGCTGGTTGGAGAGGAACGTCCCTGTTTACTATTCCCAAGTGCTGACGGTGTTGGGACCAAACCTGAAACTGGTTTGGACAAAGACCAATGAGACTGCAGTTTACGTCTCTGGGAAATGTTCCTCTCAGATCTCTTGGGTCAAGGACAACCTGCCCTGGTTCACTGAGTGGGTAAGGAAGAACTTGCATTAGCTGCCTGCTCACCAGCTCGGGAGGTAGAACCGCTGCAGAGCACGGCCTGTTCTGGTTAATGACACCGGGTCACGCTCGTCACAGACAAGGGACAGGAGGGGCAGTTCAGGCTGTTCAACAAGCTGTCCCCGGCGATAGTGCTGAGAGCAGGCGCCTGTCTTTCACAACAGGGTGTTGTGCTGTGATGTGAGGATCTGAGCTGGGCCCAGAGCAGTGTGAGCGCCAGTGGGGCGGGGCACTACACCT